CTTCCAAAAGTGAAAATTTATTAAGCCTAACCTTTTCGCCCAAGTTTCCATAATATCCAAGATATAGCCGAATTGGTTCTACCAAAGTTGTCACAATATGCAGTGCAGATAAAATAACTTTTTGAGTAGTTGGTAAGTAAGAACTCTAAAATTTCTATCAGTTTTTGTTAAGTATAAAAAAAAATAATTTTAATGCATACAATTCTTTATTTAAAAGAGATTTTAAAGTATTTAGCAATAAAGTAATATCAAAAAAACAACACTTTAACATAAATTTTTCAAGTCTTTAAACTATAGCAGAAAGAAGACTTTGCAAGCAACAGATTTTACTTCTTTATCTTTTTATTTTTATTCTTTTACAATAAAAATACCTTAATAATCAACGAAGATAAATGTGCAACAGCCCAGTATGGTGCAAAACTGATATGATAATGCAATGCCATTTGCAGGGAAAGGCTTGATAAAATTTCTGAAAAAAAAAAGAGAAAAACTAATTAAATAGTCGGTCGTAGCATTAAGGTCATTTACGGTTGCAAAAAATAATGACAGAATAGCTATTACAAGAAAGTTGAACTAGCAGCTAAGCTAAAAATGCTGTCTCATAAAAGATTATTGATATGATTAAAAACAATGCAAAAATCTTACCAACTTTAGGGACTTCCGTTGTTTGCATTGTTCTCGGTTCATTTCATTTTTGACCACTCGTATTGGTCACTTAGAAAAAGACTGTAAAATGAACAAACCGTAAGCGGCTTTCTGCGTTTGTAAAGTCTTACTAAAATTCGGTTTGCTAATTGTTTTTTTGAAACAATAGCAGGTAAAAATATACTCAAAACACAATATCACTATTCAGTAATATCTATAAAGTAATAAAAATAAATGCGTAAACTAATAATTATTTGATATTTTAAGACTCAGTACAGTTAGCAGTGACGAAAATCGGTGAACCAAAACGATGACGCCTTATGGTCAAGAAATAAACATCGGTCGCCATGGAAACTTGACATTCTAAAAAATATTTGCCAAAATAATCAAATTTATGTAACGTTAATTGAAGTCTTAATAGAAGCAACTTTTAACATCAAATCCGTTTCGTTACCAACAATTATTACCAGTCCTAATTTATTCAAGGTTCTGCATAACAAAACAAAAAAAATTAATTGTATTAACAGCTGCTTAAATGATTCTACTGTTTGGAAGTAACCTAAAAGTAAGTTAAAGCTTGGAGAAGTTCAATATGCTCTTGCAAATCAACAATATGGTAACTCAGAAGTTTTTTACCCCTATACAAATGCTATTTCAATATTTGCATTTCAAACTTCTCCGCAGCATTTTACTGGTTAATTTTCAACACCTTTTTCAAAAAAAGAAAAGAAAAAAATTTTTTTCACTATCTCTATTGACTTTCCAAAGCTGTTGATCATTTTTTAGTTTTTTTTTAAATGTAAAATAAAGAAAAGTTTAGCAAGTCTT